ATTATATTATATTATATTATATTATATAATATTATATTATGTTATATTATATTATATTATATTATATTATATTATATTATGTTATATTATATTATATTATATTATATTTATTCATGTTAATTTAATAAAAAATAGTTCAGTTCTAATAAACTTCATGTGGTAAAACATTGTGTTTCATTTTAGAGATGCTTGTGTTTCAATGAATTCAAAGGAGAAAAATGCACCATCTTCCAAGGAAAGTGTTGGCTTTTTTATTGTTTTCGGATGGGATGCCAGTTCGAATTGACAAGTCTCCGTTGTGCATGTTCACCATTTCTAGAAGGTAAAACTGTTACAAGTAAGTAGTTTCATTATACTATAACATACAAAATTCAGTTTTTGGCAACTAGATGACATCTGAAAACTGATATCTTGAAAGAATCAGTTTCCAGAAGTTTTCGAATGAAAATTCATTTTATTTAAAATAAAAAAGCTTTTACTTTAAAGTATGCTAAAACTATAACGCTTTCTTGTACAGTGCGCTAAAGAAAAGACGAACCATCCTGAATAACTTTTCATCTAATGATCAGATCTTCACGCTTTAGGATTGAATCTAAACAGTTAGAGGGGGTGATCTCGAATATGCTAATTAATTAGTGCAGATGATATTTAAAGTTACGAAATTGGACACAAAAACTTATTTTCTCGGAATAAACATACTTTTTTTTTCGACGGATTTGGATTTTTGATCTTCAAAATATAGGGGGTAGCCGCAATCTGGGAAAAACGGTACCAATAGTTTGGTCAGGAGAGCTGTCCATAGTTTAGACCCCATAATGTTACTTTTATTTCTTACGTATTTCACCATAAATCGGGAGTTTTTTAAGCGTATTGAAAACTTTTCTCCGACAATCATAAAATGCATTCATCCGACGATAATTCCATAAAAAAAATTAGCTTCTACTTAAAATTTATTATTATATTTGATTATAGTCGAAAACTTTGCACTATAAAGTTTACAGTTTTTTTACATCATTTTAAAGAACGCTGGTTTAAATGGCAATATTCAAAACTTTAGCGAAATCAGTTAAATAGTTCCTGAGAAATTTTAAATAAAAAAATTTTTTAAAATATAATTTTTCAAGAACCTCTCAACCGATTACACTTAAATTTTGTACTTGCCCTTTACAATTGCGATCTTTCAAGTTTTGTAAAAAATTTGTATATCTTGCGATTAAAAATTTTATTGAAAATAAATAATCACTAAAACTATATTTTGCATGGAATTATGTTCGGATATATCAATTTTATAAATGTATACAAAAATGTTTCGATTCGTTTAAAAAGTTCCCGAGATATGGCGATATACACAAAAAGTAAAATTAATATTAAGGGGTCCAAACTTTGGATTGCTCTCTTGACCAAATTGTGGGAACCATATTTTCCCGATTGTGGTTACTTTGAGGGTCAAAAATCTGAATCAGGCGAAAAAATGTTTATTCATAGAAAGAACGTTTTTGTATCTGATTCTTTTCTATAAAATATCGTCTGTACTAATTAATTAGCATATTCGAGGTCACTCTCTCTAACCTTTAAGATTGAGTCCTAGAACGTGAAGATCCGATCATTAGATAAAAACTTATTCAGAGTGGTCTGTTTTTATTTTGCACACTCTCCCCCCCCCTATCGTAATTCCACCTCCATCGATAAACATGGTTGTCTAAACACTAATTTGTAGTAAGTGTATCAGAAATTACAACAACAAAGAAAAGTTTTCTGATAAAATAAGTTTTAATGTTTTGAAATAATGTAATAATAAACCAATTTCTGTTGACTCTATAACAGTGATTTGTAAGTTTGAAAATTTGTAAGAGATGTATGTTTAAAAAGGACTAATGACTTTTGTTGTTGTAATTTGCTGCTATTATAATTTTTATCTTCTTATGTTAAAAAGTTCTTATCTTACATGTTTAAACAGCATCAAAATGACTATTGACATTTGTTTTTATAATATGACTTTTTTTGTTATAATTTATTGTTATTATAACTTTTATCTTCTTATGTTAGTCTATATCTTTATAAACGATCAAAATGATTAATAACTTTTGTTGTTCTAATTTATAATTATTATAATTTTTATCTTTCTATGTTAGGATTTTAAAAATATTCTTTATTTTTAAACTCGAAAATATTTTTATATTTTTGAATTGGTATGTATCTCTTTATTCTAATAAATTATTGGATAATTTCTCATGATTGTTTTAGGTGGCATATACTTTTATGACCATGGAATTGAAGATTATTACGCACCACCTCCGAGAGGCTATCTTACTAAAAGCATGTATGAAAGTCACATTCTTCACGAGACTATGACGGGAGGTATGGTAATTTTAAAGATTAGGTCTTAATTCATCATTTGGTAAAAATTTATGTTAATTCAAAGAAAAAAAATGTGTTTTGTTATTGATCGTAAAAGGAATATTTTTTTTCTTTAACCGTTTCCCTTACCGATTTTTTTGAAAAAAAAAAATGCAAAAAGTCAATCTAGTTTTTTTATTTCATTAATAAATATAGGAACTAAAACAAAAGATAATACACAGGTTTCAAGTTATTTAAATTTTTTTATGTGTAAAGAAACATTTAATTTACCACTATTCCGAGTTATGTCGGGCAAATGAAAAAAGTTAAATATTAGTCTTTGTATGAGAGTTCTTAAAACAAGGGACAACACAAAGTGATACTTTCCAAACGACAGGGAAGTGTTACCCCTTTTTCTTTTACTCTTTTTTTGTATGCAAATTCAGCTACCATCGTATAATACAATCGCACAAAACACGTGTACAATCCCATAATCCAGCATCAAAACTCCCAACCAAATTTGGCTAACTTCCAGTCACAGCAGATTTTTTTAAATTTTTTACTTCCGCCGAGTAAAAACTTGATCAAACAAAACTTACTGACAAATTCTGCTACGCCCGAGTTTTCTCGGGATGATAAATATTTGTAATATATACATACCCGAGTTAACTCGGGACAATCAGGAAAGCGGTTGAAAACCTCTATTTAAATAATAAAGAGTGACATAAGTATGCGCCATGTTTGAATCATGAATAAGACAAAACTTAAACACGATATCCGAGACTAGGATGATGGTTAAAAATTATATATTTTGAGTAGGAAGTTAAAAAATAAAGCTATTGAAATAAAATAAAAAATAATGACTGAAAATTCATTTGTAAACAATTCCTTAGAAAAGTAATAAAAACATTGAAAAAATTTAACCTTTAATAGTTTGATCATACATTGCTGTACATTATGCGCACATAACAAAACGGTAATAGTGAAAAAATTATAGATGTAGCTAAAATTATCTTACACTATAAGAAAAAGTTGTTGTATAGCTGTCATCATTTTTGGCGTTAAAAAAAAACTTTATGTATTTTTGCGTAGAGAACTGCAGTTNTTGAATTGGTACGTATCTCTTTATTCTAATAAGTTATTGGATAATTTCTCATGGTTGTTTTAGGTGGCATATACTTTTATGACCATGGAATTGAAGATTATTACTCACCACCTCCGAGAGGCCATCTTACTAAAAGCATGTATGAAAGTCACATTCTTCACGAGACTATGACAGGAGGTATGGTAATTTTAAAGATTATGTCTCAATTCATCATTTGGTAAAAATTTATGTTAATTCAAAGAAAAAAAATGTGTTTTGTAATTGATCGCAAAAGGAATAATTTTTTTTGTCGCTAACTGTTTGTTTCCTTTACCAATTTTTTTAGAAAAAAATGCAAAAAATCAATATAGTTTTTTTATTTTATTAATAAATACCAGGACTTAAAACAAAACATAATACACAAATTTTAAGCTGAAATTTAAATTTTTTTGTGTGTAAAAAACATTTAATTTACTACCCGTTTACTATTCCGAGTTATCTCTGACAAATTAAAAAAGTTAAAATATTAGTCTTCGTATGAGAGTTCTTAAAACAAGGGACGACACAAAGTGTTGTTCCTTGTTTTAAGAAACGCCAGTGGAGTGATACGCCTTTTTTTTACTCTTTATTTTGTATGCAAATTCAGTTACCATCGTGTAATACAATCACACAAAACGCGTGTGCAGTCCCACAATCCAACAGCAAAACTTGACAAACTTCCAGTCACAGTAGATTTTTTTTAATTTTCTACTTCCGTCCGAATAAAAACCTGATCTGACAAATTCTGCTACACCCGAGTTTTCTCGGGATGATAAATATTTGTAATATTCATACCCGAGTTAACTCGGAACAATCAGGGAAGCGGTTGAAAACCTCTATTTAAAAAATAAAAAGAGACATAGGTATGCGCCATGTTTGAATCATGAAGGAGACAAAACGTCCTTTACGTTTAAACCTAATGGTATCCGAATCTAAGATGATGGTTGAAAATTATATATTTTGAGCTAAAAATAAAGCTATTGAAATAAGAAAAATAATGACTGAAAATTCATTTGTAAACAATTCCTGAGAAAAGAAATAAAAACATTGAAAAAATTTAGCCTTTAATAGTTTGATCATACATCGCTGTACATTATGCGCACATAACAAAACGGTAATAGTGAAAAAATTATAGATGTAGCTAAAATTATCTTACACTATAAGAAAAAGTTGTTGTATAGCTGTCATCATTTTTGGCGTTAAAAAAAAACTTTATGTATTTTTGCGTAGAGAACTGCAGTTATCATGCGAAAAATCATATAAAATTGATGAAATAACAATTGTTTGCAAGAATAAGTGCGAAATTATTATTATTGCTAGTGGGCTGCTCCCCCTGCTCGCTAACGCTCGCCATCCCCTGAAAATTGCTACGCAATCTAATATGGTTTGCCTCGCAAACCAAGCTCGCTTCACTCGCTACTAACTTAGGTACAAAATTCTAAGAATTCGAAACAATCATTCAAATCCATATAAAAGCTTTCTTTTTTTTAAAAAAAAATTTACATCTTTTTAGTAAATACTAAGTCATTAAAATAAATTTGAATTCAAATAAATGACATGTAATTCGTTAAACCTATTAGAAATGTACTATAGTATAATTCGTGATATAAATAAAAAATCGTCAACTAAATTCGTAATATGTAAATTCGTGAAAAAAAGTGCTTTCGACAAAATACTAAAATAGAGATCTATCGACAAAGACTACTCACTTCTGCCTAGCTTAATGGTATGAGATGCTCTCTGGTTATTTCAGTTTCCGTTTTTAAAAGTGCTATATGTTGAGCCACCCCAGCTAGATTTGGCATGTGACATTTTTAGCGGCAATCATTGGTCGAATCGCCGTGTAAGAGAAATAGTGACGTAAACAAAACAAAGCAAACGTTGCCACCGGCGGAAAAGAGATACAGCCAAAATTTGGGAGCCACGTAGGAGAATTATATATATTAGATCAATATGCTTGTTTTTTAAACGAACTTTTGGGTTCTAATGAGTATGAAAAAGTGAGTGCCACTAAACAAACAAATAAAGAAATGAATAATTTAACCAATTTATTTCTTCATGTATTAACGCCGATTTTATGGAGATAAATATTAAACCTAATCATTTTGCTTGGTTACCATTGCAAATTTATCAACAATTTTCTATTTAAAATCGTATTTATTTTTGGTTATTATGAGAACTCCTTTTTATGAAAAATAGTGCGAAAACTTAATTAAGTGTTTTACAATTGAATATTCATTATTTTAATTGAATGAGTTAATTCGACGCAGTTTCTCCTGCAATTAGTAATAACAATAAATGGAAGGAGTCTTAATGTTTAATAATTGTAAAATGGTTAATAAATTTTATTCCCTTTTAAAATATTTCTTTTTTAGAAACGCTACTCCTTATTTTAAGCTATTAATTTGGATATTATATTCAAAGTCCAATCCGTAATGTAAGAAAAGAAAATTACTAAGAAAGAACAATGAATTTTTATTGGAAGGAAAACCTTTAAATAAAGAATAAATAATTTACAGGTAAAAAATACCTTATATAAGCTTTACTCATTTTAGGTAGTTGACAATCAAAAAAATCTGGATCTTTTTCGTTTGTTAAAAAAGCATACCATGTGATTTACTGGCTAATAAAATTGCGCTCACAACAATGAGAAATGGCTTTAGACTATGATCTTTTTTATTTGATATCGAGAAATGACACGTTTCATTAAATCAAAGTGAATCAGAAAATAAGTTATCACAGAAATAAGTTAAATAATAATTATCAATGATATTATTAATGTATAACGGGTGGTTTTTGTTTTGTAATTATTGTATAAGAAAGACATGCGTTAGTGAATAAAACAAACCTAAAAAGGTGATAATATTTAAATAACTCGAACTTGCATATCTTTTCTCTTAACAACACATGTAATAATAATAAAAGAAATTTAAAAGGTGAATTTTTAATCTCTAGATCATATTATATTTTTAACCTTTTTAATTTTTTTATAGTAATTATTCCATTCTGTTAAATTAATTTCGCTTAAAAAGTTAAGAGAAAAAGACATTGCAACAATGTTTTATAATATAGTTAGTCTATTTTAGAACAAATAATCGGTTAATTTTTTTAAAGTCTCAAAAAGATCCTCTATTATAATCATTTATAAGTTTCTCATTCATTTTCAAGAAATTGAAGTCATTGGGAGAAATTATCAACGTCAGAAAATGACTGATTTTACGAACGACTCTTCAAGAAAAAAATACAATCCCTCATTGAAAAAGATTTCTTCAAGCAATAAGGATGTTTCCTACAGAAAACGAACAAAAATGGAGCACCCCTATTATAATAGTAGAGGTATGTACAAGAAAAAAAAATCTTAATTATTTTTTTGTAAATTTCGGGATTGTATTTCATTGTGCATTTCATCCTTCGTTACGCTTCATTAGCTTTCGTTCATCATTTCGTTACGTTTTATAAATGGTAAAGCCAAATGATTTTTTTATCGACTTTTAAATTTTTTTTAAAGAAGATTAATGGCTCATTTCCTGTTAAGCTGACTTAAAAAAAAAGCGAATTTTGTTACCATTATTTGTAAGCCTGCTTGAAATCAAGCGAATTTTTAAAGCAGAGGGTGAGCTTCTTCCTTCCTAGTGGTGCCTTCCATGACCAAGTATATCATTTAGCCCCATATATACGTCACAACCCGTTTCACAAGAAGTACCCACTCACACACCTTTCATCCATCCAATGATCGTGATTTTGATCTGAATCAGAGAACGACCAATCTGCAATTCAGTACCCCCAGAGGAATTGATTTGTTACTTGAAGGACTGTGTGACTCCGACAGATTTAACGTGCACCAGTCACCATTTAATACACAGGGATTCTTTGGACGGCTGGATTCGAACTCTCGTTTTCACGAATACGAGTCCAACGTCCTACCAAACAGACTATCCCGACCCACAGTTGAAATTATTCACCAAAAATTCATGTAGCAAAAAATTTTTTGTTTGTCTACGCTTGTGCTTTTACTTCTCACGTTCAAACATTTCCCTTGTGATTCCATTAAGATATATTAGGGAACATAGATAATTTAACTTAACCATTCTTCAAAAGAATATTTAAAATTGAAGGTATATTTTTATAAAAAAAATTTGTTCACTTCACAACTGTAATTTAGTAGGGAAATTTCACAAATTTTTGTAGGCTTCCGTACTGTCTCGTACGTAAGATTTTAAGTAATTGCGCATGCGCATTGTGTACATGCGTCAGTTCTGGCGGAATGCACATACGCCAGTGAAAAAATATCAAACTTACTTAAAGGAAAATAAGAGATTTTTTCAAAACGCTAACGTAGTGAAGTATTATTTTAACTTAGACCACAAAATCATAGCAAGCATTTACAATGAAGTCTATCTTTCCAAAGCTATGGCATACGTTTCAAGATACTTTGCTAATCGTAAAACTGCAGTTTTGTGAAAAGAAAAATTTGGTAGATTGCAGATTTTGATGAATTTAGCAATAAAGAATGCCGATTATTATTTAGATTTGTGGCCGAAGATTTAAGAAATTTAGTTTTTGTTTCTATCACTAGTCCAAATAATAGAGTGGGGATTATTTCCTTCATTTTTTGTGAATACCTTTTCATAAATTTCAAGTATAATTTCAGTGTAATACTTCAGCGTAATTTGATATAAATAAATCAGGCTTATATTTTGATAATAGCAATTTTATATTGCAAATATTATTTATATTTTTTGTACCCAGCCAAATTCATAACTCTCAGAAATTAAAATAAATATCAAATTGATTCTGGTAACAATAATTCAAATGCTACAAGTATTGAACACTTTTGTACCAGAGTAAGGTCTCGCTTTAAGCAATTTAAAAGGAAAAAAATAGTGTAAATCATAACTTCAAAATAAAATTAGTCGAATTCTGTATTTATAATCGAATTAAAAAATATGTAATATTTAAATTAAACTTCTTCTAACTAAAATGTATAATTAAAATATTGATAATTTTAAAATAACGATAATATATTTAGTTTCTTATGGAACTAGTGCAATTAGACAACCATGATGTTAAACAAAAACCAATAAAAATCTTTTTTTTTAATCAACCAAATCAATTGCTGTAATATCATACGATTCATTTCTAAATTCCATTGATACATTTCTTCAAATTCACATTCCATGCCCATGTTTTTAGTTCGGAGGTAGGCTTAAAAACAGAAAACAATATTGAACAGCTATAAGCAGCGTGCTTGTAGCTTTGTCTTTATAGCGTTAATTACACCAATATAACGTAAATATACGCAGTATCTAAAACAAACGCAGCATGCGCAGTTGCTTCAAATCTTACGTAAGGGAGCGTACGGAAGCTAACGTTAAAGTGCGACATCTTCCTAATATTTTCTCCCAAACAGGCTGATACATTATATATAGTTTGTAGTACATGCATCACGTTGTGCAAGAAGCTGATCGTTAAGCTGATCGTTAAGCTTTTAATAATTAAGCGAATCTCTTTATATTTAATTTATAATTGTATATTAATGTAATTTGCTCCAAAAAATAATAATTGTAAAATGGTTTCTCTTGAAATGTAGCGTAATAAGGTAATATCATAGAATTGCGTAATAATAAATAAATGACTCTTTTAGTATTAAACTCTTAACCAGAAAACAATCAAAATCAAATAAGAGAATATAATGAAAAAATCTTAGCAGGGTTAAATAAGAAAAATAAATATTGCATGTAAATGCTTTTAAATTAAGGGATACAAAAAATTTTACAGGCAAACAATACATTTATGACTTTTATTAATTTTATAGTGATGATAAAAAAAAAAGAAAATTGATGTGAGAAAACTGATCCTACCATATAATTTTATGGGCAATAAAAATGCAACGACAACAACAGAAAACCGCGTCGGACCATTGCTTTTTTATGTGTCTGATAAGAAGATTTTCTTTCCAAATATTTAATATTTTCATTGTTAACATTAATGCTACACTGTAAAAAAAAAAAATAATCCCGAAACGTTTCTGAATATATGAGGCAGCTACGGTGCATGTAATTTTCAAAAACGTTTCTCAATACTTCGGAAACCTTAGAAGCTGAATCGACGTCAATGCGATTCAGTTTTAAACTTTTGAAAATAAAAGAAATGTTTTTCAATTTGGTAATTGCACTTGAAGGAGAAGATCACGGATACTCAAACGTGTTACCTATGACATCAGCTGATCGTCTATAAGCAAAATGGCGTGTTAAAGTTGAGTTCCCTGTAAGTTAGAATGTTATCTAACGTGAAGTTAATAAAATACAGAGTAGTATTGTCCATCGAATTGGTTGAAATATAATTATTTCTCATCTACTCTTTTTACTTAACTTAAATTTGTTATTTGTGTACATATTTTGTTGTAACCTTGATATAATTTTGTTTTGTGTACCTTGCAACTTCGATAATTAGCCTTTTTTTCGAGTTAAAATTAGTTTCTGAAATTTTTTACAATGTAGCTTACAGCTCTGTTACATCAAAACAGTTACACAAGCTTCATTGCATGTTCCTTAATAATCATTTAATATTTATCAGTTATGAGAGTTCATAAAAATATAAATGAGTGGTGACCTCATAACATTGGTAGTAGGTAGAACTATCTTGATTCTCGAGATTATTTTCTTACTAGTTTGTTTTTAAAACGTATTTCTATAAATTCCAATAGTAAAATTTTTTCATTAATTTTAAAATAGAATGAGTTATTTACTAAAGGGTAAATGCCTGATTGTGGTAAACATAGACTATCGCGTGGTGGCTTCTATCAATAATCAGTAGCATCATTTTCGGTTTTGATTAATATTGGAAGTAATTAAACTTTATTTTGATAAGTTTAACGGCTAGAATCTTGTTTTGCTTATACTAATAAACGTAAAATCACTGTAAAGGGCAGCAATTAATATTATAAAATATCAGGATTATTTTAATTTTTTTAATCTTTACAACGTTACATCGTTCGAATTTTTTAATCGATGTCTTTCAATTTTTTGCATGGTTGGTTTAATTAGTTTTTCTGGTGGTTCCCTCTATCGGTAATAATCAGAAAATACTCGACTTTTGTGTTGCATTGTGTTATATTCTGATATATATGTTCTGATATATACATTCTGATTCGTGCAAAGAATGAGTAGTCAGCTAGTGATTACATAAATATTTGACTTAAATGAAATAAAAACTTTTTTTAAGGTATGAACAAAGAGAAAGAAGAAAGACGTCAACATTTATTGCCAAATGATGATTGGCCACTTAATCATCCCACATCTCATGCGCTCAGAAATTCCAAATTATCTGTTCCTCCGCTAAAGTATTTTCCCCGTAAACAAATGAGATTAAGAAATCAAAGAACCATAGAAAATCAGGATAACATCCATGAGCATGCGAAAATAATTCCACAACTTGGACCGCACAGATTATCGACAAATCATAAAATTAGAGAAACTGATTCTAAAGAACCTGCTTTGTGGGCAGATTCGGTTGAAGAGAGTGTAGATAAAGGTTAGTTGATGTTTGTTTGTTTTCAATGCATATTTACCTATTTTTTTTATTTAAATGATAAAACACAATCTTTTTTATACACTGTTAGACTTTTCACTCTAAAATTACAGTAAAATAACCGGCAGCAGTTTGTCCATCCAATTGACCGAAAGTTTAGGGCTGGGAACATTTCTTACCTTTACTGTTTAGAAACCGTCAATAACTGGTATGGCAGAAAAACCGCAAAAATGAAACAATTAAATAAAATGTAATTTAACCCTTTCTTCCAAGAAATTTCCAACAGTGTAAATTGCATTTAATTAAAACAAAACGGTCTCTATTAATCTAGAAGAGAGGATATTAGTACTAATATTAGTAAAATATCCTCACTTCGAGACTAATACTATTATCAGTGTAAATGAAGTGATTGGTAAAAAAATTGCCGATGTTTTTAAAAAATCAATTAATGTGTGGTTTGCTATGCTTTGCTCCTCCGGAAACGACGGAAATTTATTCTTTGAAAGATTAAAAATTGACTATTAAGTTCGTCAACCCATATAGCACTGCTTACAGGGAAAAATTAAAGGATTTCTACTGTATGTCAGATTATTCCTATTAATAATATTTGCATGTATGAATATTAATTTTGTCCTCAGACTGCAGATGATAGCATGATAGCTTTTTTGAAAATGTAATGTAGCTATTTTGTAGATCTTCAAGTTGGTCACGCAGTCTAATGATGAACTTTACTGACAATCACTGCTATTCTTAAGATGAGCTCTCAGTGAAGACAAGAGCTTATCTCATGTTCATACAGTAATTTTAAAACATGGTAACTATACAAATCCAATCCCCTTTTGTCTTTCTGTTATTGATTTTCCAAATTGTTGGATATTTTTGGGACTCCCAGGATCTCTACACACGGAGCCTCAAAACTCATTGCACATACGTTAGGGAGTGATAGAAGATAACTAGTTACGCACAAATCACCATACAATTCATCGTCCGAACGCAAGTCGTAATGCGCTAGAGAGCACGGACTTCTCTTCTGGGTCTGGACTTTTAATTTTATGTCTGGGCTTTATCTTCAGGTGTCATATGAAGAGTTTCAGCTACGACGATGGTTCCATAGATTCTGAAGACATTGTTGCCCGGATTTTCGTATCTGCTGATACCATAAGAGAGATGGCTGGTGTTTTCGCCAACGTACGGCGTCACTCATTCGATGGTGTAGTTGGCGTCCGCAATTTTGAGCCTGTGGTGGGCGACTTAGTGTTGTTTAATTTCATTTTGTTGCATAAAATGTTTTTCATCATTTTATCGGTTTCTTTTCATTCCATGTCTGCCTGTCTGGTTTCCCATCATCTCGTGACACAGCATGTTTCGTGTTTTAATGCTTTACGACTTAATTTTCGACCATGGATCGTATGGTGATTTGTGCTTGTCTAGTTGTCTTTTATCACCCCCTCCTAACGTATCTAGAGTGCAGCTTTCAGGAGAACTCTTCCAGACATCAGTCTTGCGTCGTGGCGGATACTATGGTTACGAGGAAAAATCACTTTGAATAGGGATGTATGGTATATGGTTTCGTCTTAATCTTGGCATAGATCGGTGAGAGTAAGCCAATCGACACCATCATTGCACCCCGATTAGAAATGTGCTCTTGCTTGTTACTATAGCAGCAGACAGTCCCAGACTTATAATCTGGTGGAGTTCTCCTCAAAGCCCTAATATATAGATCTAGCTTTCTTTCTTTTTAATTTAATTCTTAAACCTCAAAGTATTCAGCTTTGCACATATGTTTCTTTGTTCGAGAGACAACGAAAAGACCCTGAATGAAGAGAAAAATTTCACTCAAATTTCAACTAACACTCGAAAATTAAAAGAAGCTAGAAGCAGCTTGAAATTAAGCAGTTTAAGCTAGAATTGACAACAAAATCAATAACAATTTTAAGTGATTATGAATACATGAAAAGTAATCAGTACGTTTAATCATGTTTAGATAATCCTAATTTATTATCACTATTGTAGCCATGATCACAAGTAATCAGGATTAGAATCAATCGTCGTAATTTTAATCGCGGTGTATGATTTCATAATTACAAGTACTTCTCAAGTCGCGATCAAATATAAATTGACCATTTGTCCTTAATTTATATTTATATAAACCAGTTCCAAGCACAACCCATTAGATCAGTTGGTTAGCGCTATTGTGGTTCATTTATGCAATATTTTCGTATAACAAATTAACATCAAATAAACCATCGATATTTCAACTGCTTTCTTTAAAAAGTTTATGAGAAATTAAGAAAAGCTATTTTTTTAAAATTTTTATAGTTTATTAAACTTTATCCAAGTTGCTTATTGTACTCTCATATTTCTGATATTAGTTTTTACTTTACTGTCTTAGAGTAATTGTATAATGCGAGGTACCTGCTTTGCGGCACTTGCTTCTTCAGCGAAAGTATTTACCAATAGGCAATGGAGGTTTGATTTCGAAAAATGTAAGTAAGTAATAAAATGAATAATATATACGAAAAAAAAGGAATTCGATAATTCCTTTTTTTTCGTATATAATATACAGGTACGATAACGAGAAGTCCGAATAATATATATAAAAATATTTGCATGATCGATTTAAGAAGTATTTATATATTTACAATAGGGAGCGAATATATGCATGTTAATAGTCATATTCGTAGTAGAAGTTTTTACTTTAATCTTTCTTGACTTTTTATGCTCCATTTTTAAAATCAATATTACAATACATAATAAGCAAAAGTATAAATGATCCATATATTTAGCTATAATAATACGATATTTACTATTTAAATTATTTTATTTTTTTAGGTACGACTTCATCCAGAACTTGCACTGCGACTATTGAATTTAGAATGGTTTTGTTTTGTTTATTTATTTACCTTTGTATTAAAAATATCACATTGTGTATTAGTTATAAAAATTTTCTCTAATAAACTTATTTGTTTTGTGATTCGCAATTATAAATTTCAAATTTTTTGTCCGAGAAGAAGGGAAACTCCGAATTGATTTAAAATTGGGGGAATTGAAATTAAATTTAACGATGGGGACATTATGAATAATTCAATTTTAGTTCCTAATTAAGCTGTATTTTTATCTGGAGTTTCATAGATAACAATTTTTTTATTTCCGCGTATTTACTTAACATGTAATTGTTGTATTTACTTAACATGTAACATGATTGTTTTTTAAATGAAATATTTTTGCAATAAAGCCATGAATTGATTCCAATGCGCATGAAAATAGGCGTTGTTTAGTAAACAGACAAAGAAAAAATGAATAAATAAAATTAAAAAAACTATAAGAGTGAATGAGCAAATAAAAAGAATGCAACTATGTGCACCATAAAATTTTTTAGTTTACATCAAAGCCAAAAATAGTGACAATTATATATACACCAACATTTTTTAAAATTTTTTTTACATTATATTTTTCGCGCACGTAAAATGCTTCTTTTTAACAGATATGGAAGCCAGAAGGGGTAAACTAAATTATACTTGAAATTATGAAAAAATGGATGAAAAAATACGAATGACAATTTTCAGATTTGTTGAGTAAAACTAAAGTAACCGACTTTACGAACAGAACATTTAACTGTTACTCACAAAAAAGTTATCCACAATTCTACGTTGTCATGCAGTATAAAGTATCAATTTTAATTTGATGCAGTCTTGTATTATGACTTTCGTGGTCTTAATTATGACAGCAGAATATTAAAGCTAATTGCAAGGTTTGAAAAAATTACAACTTTTAAACTGACTTTTGTTAAAAGAAATGTTCTTATGAAAGAGGTTCGAATAATTGAGGTTTTACTGAACAACAAAAATTCATTACAACAAAGTTTACACTTAGAATGTTAAACAATATTGCTTTATTAAGGCTTTTGAAATTTATTAAAGTGTTTAACAACAGGTTTTTTTTTCCTTGACAGAAGAAGTAACCTAGCAATTTGATTGAAACTAGTTCGGTAGAACAAAATAATATTAGTACATGATATATTTTATCTTAATGAACTTACAGAGCAATTCATGAAAGTAATTTCTTTTAGTAATACTTGATGAAAACATAGTTATTTCATTTATTTGTATGGGGCAGCATTCTTCCATTGTGTTTATACTGTGCAGAGAAACAGCAAACAAGAATGCTTAGAATGATTACTTTCATCTGTACAAGTATTTGTTATTTGTTCAAATGACCAATCATCAGTGGTGGATGTAAGTGACTTACCTGAAGTTTTCTAACAAAAATGCTCATCTTGTGTGTGTAGATGTCAATTTACGTTTTCTAACAGAAAAATAATTGATGGGATCCTGAGTAGCAATATAAAATAAGTCTTCCATAAATATTGCAAAACTTATTTCAAATTTTTTTCCGCTGAAAAAAAAAAATACAAATGCTAACTGTACGTATTCTCGCAAATTCAGCCTCTATTGTGATAGCTGAAGCACAATTCTGTACAAATTTGCAGCACCTTCAATATGGTGTCAAATTATATAATTAGGCAAATTAGTTCGTGTTGAATTTTATTACACGATAAAATGGTTTAAATTGAGTAGAAAGATGGTTCGATTAAGCACCCAAATAAGGTTACATCAAATTCACTCGATATTATGTTTCAAAGCACATTATGGTTAGACTTTTTCAGAAGGTAGGAACCAAGTTTTTTAGATATGTATAATTTTAGATGTAAGGAGCAATACGTAAAATTTTTTCAGTGCTTTGAAATTATAAATTCAACGTTGCTTTAGAAGGAAGCAGTCTAAATTTTTTTTCAAGTGCAAGAGTTCATTATTGTTGTAAATATTGCATGTTTAAATATATTCCACATCGTTACTTTGATTCAGTGAATATGGAGGCAAGAAATAGATTTAATAACAAAACCCAGTATTTCATAGCAAATTAATTTTAGAAGATTCTATGCGAGACGAAAGTTAAAAAATAATTTCCCGTTTATTTTTTAGCACAGAATATAGTCAGAATAACTCTATTCAAACCAAAAATAGATTTACCAATAGAGTTCATGTTCATCTAACAAAGAAAGCTAAAACTCAAGAATGGCATAAGTCACATTTTCTTGACTTTCTTACGACACAATAATAGCTTACATATTCATCAGACTGGAATACAAATAAATTATCTTAAAGAAAAGGGTTTTGTGCTAAACCAAACAACATTTTAGCATCCCTAAAAAGTATTTGTGCAAGGAATGGGGCAAAATATCAGTGAGTAACAGGTTATGGCAGATCATTCTTTGACAGGTTCATAGCTCGGAATTCTAGCTAAAATTGTCACCTCGACAATATGTAAATAAGTTTCAGGTAGCAAGGGCTTCACGGTTTGGTTGTGATATTTTAACAAGCATCAAATTTCAGTGCTAGGTTTAAAATTTGTTAATTTAGTTAAAAATGAAATTTGCCTTGATTTTGGCTGATAAACCACTTTTTGGCTACGGAAATTCAACAAATACGCAATTTCTTCTTCTTCTTCTTTTTTTTTTTTGAAAAAGGAGTAATTTATGAAACATTTTATAATTCAAATCGAACTTGGGGAAATGAATAAAATATTTAAAAAAAAATTAGTTGGTAAAATATTTTATTGCCGTGGATATTAGTTTAAGATTATGTTATAAATAAAAAAATATATAGATTACACAATACAGCAATACTTATTACAAAATATTCGTTACTTATGAAAACAAATGCTGATGATTCCTCTACAGCTTCTTCTAATGCTTCCTTTACGTCTTCTGTTTCCTTATTTGTTTTTGTTTCCGTAACTTCCTCTTGTAATGCAAGATTAGCCGTCTTGTCTTGATCATTGGTGTTATCAGCATTTTGATTTATTTTGATTAAATTATGATCTGCCGTTTTCGTAAAAGTTTTTTTCAATTGAAAATTTCCTAAATCGCTTTTTCTGGAAGAATCGATGTGAAAATCTTGAGATATATTTCCGGCTCGAATCATTTCTGAAGGAATTACATCTTTCTGTATTCCTTGCTCTACAATGAATAAAAGGGAAAAAAAAACATTTTAACTCTATAAAGTTATATTGAAGTAATAAAGTAATCGAGTATTAAAGTAAACTAATACTATTAATAATAAACTAATCGCATCATGTTACTCATGGTGCAACTTTTTATGATAAAAATATTTGGTTACAGAGATTATATTTGATTTTTAATACTACAATAATAATCATTCCCCACAAAAGTATCTCAAGAGTGGAGGAAGGGGGCTCGAACCCAGTATACATACATACATACATACATACATACATACATACATACATACATACATACATACATACATACATACATACATACATACATACATACATACATACATACATACATACATACATACATACATACATACATACATACATACATACATACATACATACATACATACATA